GGGTTTTCTTTCGTAGGGTTTCACAGTAAGCCTTGCGGCCGAGTTGCCCAAGGAATAGCCAGGTCCATAGGTGCACAGCACTGGCTTCTCCTTGAGTTTAGGGTTATATTAGGGTTATATAGGGATAATGGTAAAGAAAATGGCAGCTTATATTTAGGGTTTTGAGTTTTAGGAGCACTGGCTTCTCCTTGGCACGGACAGAAAGTGATGCTGAAGCGAAGGACGTTCCAGCAATCTGCTTAGGGCTCTTCGCCTGCTGAATAAGATATGACCATTGGAAAACACACATGAGTATAGCGTGGGGTCTACATTGGGGCCCCCAGAGAAGGAAACTACCATATGACATACGACCCCAGTTTCCATTCAATCTTCAATTGGATTTTCCATGAGATGTTCCATGTGATTCTCCACTATTGGGGTACCAGCCCTGGACCCTAAACCCCAAATGGTAGTTGCCTTTTTCATTTCCCTTTTTAGCACTGCAAGATGAATTTACAACCCCTAGAGTCCCCTAAACCCTAAACCCTAAATGTCATGCAGCGAGACACGGAATGGGCACTGCAAGCTGCAAGTTCCTGCCGCGCTTTGTCATCCCAGCCTGGCACTCTCTCGAAGCATGCCTTGAGCCCTAAACCTTAAACGGGAGTTTCCATGTTCTTTTCCAACATTACCCCAATGTATTCCGTTGTTTCCCTATATAACCCATTATAGTCGTTTCCATTTTATTTCCCATTATTCCTATATAACCACCCATTACTGGTGCTATTCCCATTATCCGCAATTGCAAAAGTCCAAAACTGTGCCGGAGCTGGGTTTAGGGTTTAGGGTTTAGGGTTTAGGGTGAATGCCTGCTCTTGCTTCCCTCACTCCTGATTGCGACTTTGTTATATGGGAGTTTTCCCAAAATTTGGGGTACCATTCTGGGGTCACTATAAAAAGGACTATAAGATTTTGGGGTCTATAGTGGGTTCACCCTATTTTTGGAAACTACCATATACCCCATGAGTATCCCTCTCATCCTGCCGAGGAACCTGGTACAAAGCGCATGTGGCTATCCAGCTGCAAGTACAACTCCTCACCGCTCCACAGTAGCCTCAACTGCAAGTACTTGCGTGGGGGCAAAGGCGCTACAAAAGGCTGAATGTGCGAGTTTCTCAATACGGGTGCTCTTAGAGACCCGAGGGGTGTCTGGGATTGTAATGGGGTTCTGAGGGTCCTAATCATGGTTACGACCATGATTGAAGCACGGTGGCGCTCTCCTGGTGCAGTCGGTCATTAGAATGCGTTCTAACTGTGTTAGTGTGAATATACCATAATATGCTCTGATATACTAGAATACACTCTAATATATTATAACATACTATGATACACTATAATATTTCATAACATGCTATAATGTATTTCATCATCTGAGTCATGATCCACAAGCAAAGTCAGTTCGTCACTGCGAGACTACAGCAGAGTGGTGAAGTATCCAGATAATATCATAAGTTCTGCCTACTCACATAGGTAGACTGGCTATATAGGGGCTATATAAGGGTTTTACATATATATATATATGGGTTATATCGGGATTATGAGGAACATATTGGGGTTATATATGGATTATAGGGAATGTATAGGGGTTATAAAAGGATAATGGAAAAGAGAATGGAAGCTACGTCTTATGTTACTTTAACGGGCGAGCAGCCTTCAGTGGATCAGACGATCGCAAGTGAGCACAACTATCAGTGTTGTCCTTTAACGGGGGCTATTGCTTTGACCCCTTCTGTGACGACGACAATTACAGCTCCACCACATTGGCGTTCGCTACTACAACTACCACAGTCACTACTGGTACAGGATTGGAAGCATTTACAATCCCCCTTAAGTGGATAGAATATGGCTTTGGGAAAATTATAATAAGATCCCCATATACCCCCTGTTCTATCTACTTAAGGGGGACTATATCCCTAGGCTGGCTGGGGGCTTTTTGTTACGGGGAGATACTTCTCCTGCAGCCCCTGTCTAATCCCAGCGTGCGTTTCATGTTCGAGTGACTTTCCATTTGACTCTCCAGTATTCTACCAAGCCTGAAACCTTAGTCATAAGAGAGAACTATATACATACGCACATATACACATACACATGTACACCGTGAACCCTCCACCCTGTAACAGTGGTATATCAGGAATATAAGAGGGCCCTACTATGGCAACTATTATCCCTCCTAAACCGCAACCCGTGCTAAACCCTAAACCCTAAACTCTAAACCCTAAACCCTAAACCCTAAACCCTAAACTCTAAACCCTAAACCCTAAACTCTACACCCCAAAGCCTGTGGGGAGAGGAGCAGCAAAGTGCAGCGCAGGAGCTGTGCGAGGTATCGGGCCCAGCAGGGCCCCCGAGCATCCTGCGGCATCTGAGTGGTGGTTTTTTCGGTGGTTGAACCTAGTGAGATTCTATTCCCTATATAAAATACTACACCCCAAAGGGAGGATAGAATCTTACTCTATAATGGGTACCATAGTATCCCCAAATTAGATACTACTCATCTGAAGACTTCACTATCTGCAAAAGGCTTTGGGGTAGGGATAATAGGGAGATTGTTAAGGTTTTTTTTACAACCCTCGGACGTTAAGACTTTAGGGTTGAGAGTCCAAGGTTTAGGTTCTGGGGGTTCGGGTTTAGGGCTTAGGGTAGACATCATGGGGAGACGAGGCCCCTATTACAGATTGTACTGCTAGTTGTTCACGCTTAGCTGGGAGTGGGGGGCCTGGGCTATGTTGCAAGGGCGAATGAGCCGAATACCTACAGGGGCGTTCTTAATAGGGAGCTCCTTTGCGTGAAAAGTAAAGAAAATAATAGAATCATATCATACACGATGATATGGGACTTGCTACAGCCCGACAGAGACCCCAATACACAATGTTCGTCATTAACCCGACTGCCAAAAAACGCACCCTTAATTTCTGGACACCCGCATGTGAGGTGGTTAAGGCACTTAAACCCTGCAAATCCGTGTAAATCCCCAAATATGCCTTAAAAACCCTTCTAACCCCTTACCATAAAGCCTAAACTCTAAACCCTAAATCGTAAGCCCAAACCCTAAGCCCTAAATCCTAAATCCTAAACCCTAAACTCTATGACTTTCTGACCCCTCCAAAGAGAAAAGCTTGACCCAGTCCTCCGGGGCCATGCGCAAAGCTCGGATGCGGCCGTCCATCATCTCCTCAGCCACACGGTTTGCTTGTGGCTCGTAGGGAATGGGAGATATCATATGATTTCATATTATATTATATCATACTATGTTATATTTTATTATGTAGGAATTTTTTGGGATTATAGTCCCATATTCCCTACTCACAAGCTTGTGGCTCGTATCATGTCATCTGGTGCGGGGCTTTTGGGCAGCCGCCAATTCTGGGAAAAGCCCGCGTGGGCTGTAATCTAGACTCCTTAAATTAAAGGGGGTTATATAGGGGACTACTATAGGGTTTTCAAGGGGATACTAGGAATTTAGACCGCAGCCCATGTGAATCCTGAGAGCTTACGAGACTTGTGCAAAACGGGCCCGGAATCCTGGACTGGAACGGATTCCTTTCAAGACTTGTACAACAAGTCCTTTACACAACTCCTTGTCAGCTTTTGTAGAACGCGCGCTACAGGGTCTGAAGCAAAATGTCTGCTTGGGTTGTAGACAGAAGGTCAGATCTTAAGACGGCATATAGGGCCTCAAGCAAGAGCCGTACTGCCGCTCCCACTTCACCAGTCTCAGCATCAAGACTTTGACAGCGGAAAGTCCCTTTGAAATCACCGTCCAACATGAACAGCGAACAGTTGCGCATCAATCATTCAGGACCACTGCTCGACAGCGCCTTTAATCTCGTGCGCACGTGGGCGGCAACCGGTGGCGGGGCTAAGCGAAGCAGGAAAACAGCTGGTCACCACAAGATACTGTAATCGTCGTGGCCGCTACCTACCTTCCTTTGCGGGCAGGGCTGCGGCAAGCACATCTTGCGCATCTGCGTGCTGCCGAGTGTTGAGCATGCCAGTGTGGTTCGGGAAGCGCAATGTCCTCTGAAGTATCCTCCCCTCCCAGATCTTCAGGCGTTGTAGCGGATGACCGTGTCAGCCAAGATGTGGCCTCGGAAGCTTGTCGTCGTCTCCTCTTCACTGACCCGAGCCGTCAGGATGAGCTGAGCCGGCCGCCAGTCTCGTTGCTGGCGCTTCACCAGGGCTTGCACACGGCTGGGTATCCCGAGGCCATAGTCCGTGTGTCCACAGCCAGAAACTACCATGGTGTGATACTTCTCCAGGCTCTTCATGACTCTTGTGGCACACACAAAATCCTTCCAGCATTGGGCGGGGAAGATCTGTCGCCCTCGTTCAGGAGACTCTCCGACTTCATACTCCGAGGCTGGCGCCCCAGCAATCATTGCAGCAAACAGACGAAAGTGGTCATCAACCAAGCTGGGACCCATAAACTTGTGGAGCTCCTCCATCTCCGTCACCTTAGCTACGCTGCTACCCTGCAGTTACATCAGCCCACCCAGCTAACATCCTCTAATTGCCATGGAAAGTTGCATCAATGCTTCCTCGGACGGCCGCCCTTGCTTCGGCTCTGCTTGGAAAGCCAGCAACAAGCTGTACTCCTTCTTGAGCAGCAGCTGTTAGCAGAGGCTCATAAAGCCATATGTCCTAGGAGACAACAGACAAAGGACCCTATGCCCTCCCGGCAACCAAGCAGAGCTGGGTAGTGGCTGAGGTCCGTTCAAAGTCGCCACCTGTTGCCTCATAGTCTTTGGCCAGCTCTTGGGGACTTGCCAACCCCCATCCTGAGCACAAACATGGCCTCCCCAACATGGACGGGGGGCAAATGAGTTGAGCCGAGCAGCTATCCAAGATCGACTGCTGTTCAATAGTGAAGTGCTCCAGGACCAAAGCAGCTGCTTTTCTGGGCTTCACCTCCGGTTGGTCATGAACAACCAACGTTCAAACCCAAGAGGTGAAGAGGCGACCGCAAAATATTTGCAGCCTGGTGACCGCCAGCCAGTGCTGCAGGACAGCAAGCTGTGCGCCACACACGGCCGGCTCTTCGTGGCCTTACACAAGCATCGCTGGCCGGTAAGCTGAGATCAGGGAAGTCCGAGGCAGCAGCGCTCTCCGAAATAGACCAACTGTCGACCGGGTAGTTGGTCCCAGCCCTTGCCCTCGCACCACCAGCCTTCTCCTGCAACACCGAACATCATTTCATGCACTGCCATAGGAGTTGACACACCCAACAGTTCATGGGAATCCTTATTCAGAAAGAGCTGGAGCACCTGCTGCAGCCGAAGCGAAACAGCGTGGCGAACCCCCACGCCAGAGTCTACAGGCAGCACGGGCAGCTCTGTGAAGCATTGCCATGGCAATGTTTTCTGCGGCAGGGAAGGACCTACCAAGCGTTACCACAGCAGCCCGTGTTCCGATTCTAGGCTAAATACAGTTTCCTGGGAGCCATGCTGCGTAGACATGAACATTCATGAACACATAGTGGCAAGAATCATCTGGGCGGGGCTGGCTGCCACACAACTCATGCCCTGCCAGTGCTTTGCCAAGGCTCCCAAACGGGCAAGCTGTTATCATCCGGCAGTTGCAACTGTTCAACTACCTGCTCCTTAGCTGCTTCCAAACTGTCCAACGTCTGCATCTGCAACCCACTCAACACCGTCGCTTTCTTCAAGAACCTAGCATCGACCAATCACAAGACCTTCCACCTGGCACCTTCCACCGGGCATCTCAGCTCTAAGTCGGGTTGCTGTCAAGGAACTTAAAT